AGTGATCAGTTTAGAGCATCTTTTACAACATAATCCATCCTTTTAGCATGAGTGTGTTCTCTTAGGAAATGGTTACTAAGTAGGTCACGCCACTGAGCGACCTGGCTGATGGACTGACTGAACAGGAAATTCGGAATTGTTGCTGCAAAACATGGCAGTTCCAAACTCTTGCAGGGGTCTCTCTCTTCAGATATAATAGCCCTTGCTATATGGGAAATTTTCCCTTCAATGTTTATTATTAAATTGTTTTCATAGAATATATTTTATTCATATTTTCCCCCTTGGACCTCCTCCCAGATGCTACCTACTTCCTTATCCATCCAACTTCATTCTCTCTATTCCTCCCTCCTACCTCCCACTCTCCTTCCCTCCCTTCTCCTCTCTCGAAAAACAAACAAAACCCTCACCAAGAATAAAAACAAACAAAAGCCAATACAACAAAAATCACCAAAATAAAACAAAAAGCAAACATAAAAACCATGGCATCCACACATATGCAGCAGATGTGCAGATTGATCCCCCAACAACTGGAGCAGGGGGCTGCCTGTGACTCTGTTGCCTGCCTGTAGATTCTGTCTTAGCCACAGTGGGCTGCCTTGTCTGGCCTCAGTGGGAGAGGATGTGCCTAGTCTTGCAGTGACTTGATGTGCCAGGGTAGGTTGGTACCCAGAGGCCCTCCCCCTTCTCAGAGAGGAAGGAAAGGGGGAGGGGTTGTTGAGTGGGGAGGGAACCGGGAGGAGGGGGTCTGTGATCAGGATGTAAAGTGAATAAATAAATTAATTAATGAAAAAAAATCATGGCGTCAATTTTGTGGCTACTCCTCCTCCTAGGCATGAGGTCTGCCTGGGGTGTGATTGGTATACCCAGTCGTTGAAGAAAGCTTGTTTTCCCTTTCCTGGAAGGTATCAATTGCAAATAGCTTCTTTATTGGGGGTGGGACTGTGTCTACTTGCCCTTCTCAGGACTGAGATTCATCTGGCTCTGTCGTAGGTCTATGCATGCTGTTGTCTCATGTTGGGCTCTATGTAGATCAGTCCTGTTGGGGGGAAGACACTGTTTCCTAGGAACCATCTTCCAATTCTAGCTCTTATAGTCCTACCTCCTCTTCCGGATAGACTGCTAAGCTCTGAGTGGAGGGAGTTGATAAAGACATTCTATTTAGGGCTGAGTGCTCCAAAGACTCTCACTCTCTGCACACTGCTCAGCTGTGGGTCTCTGTGTTGATTATCATTTACTTCAAGAAGAAATTTCTCTGTTGTAGGTTGAGGGATGCTATGATCTGCATCTTAGCCTAGTGTGGCTCCTGTTGGTCCCTAGTAGAGAATGGTTCTGAGGGTCAGCAGGAGTGGCAAATGAATGGAAATGTCCTTAAAGGAAGGACTTAACGGGGCAGTGAGGCAGAGCCAGAGGGGCCCTGGGTCCAAACGAAGAGGCCAGGCGCCTAGAGGACGGAGGTGAGTTGGAAGAAGGCTATGAGAATTTTGAAACAACCTAGGCTGTTTTCCATTCTATGGCTAAGATTTGCTTGTGTAGCACAGTTCACCTGCTTATTTGTATATTTTTGCATTTATTTTTATACGCAGGCTTTTCCTTTGGGATTCTAAAGTAGTTAACGTTTAATTCAAAATTAAATCAATCTCCCTGGTTTTTTGTTTCCACAGCATCATGTTTTCTTAACCTGGCAGAAAAGATTGAATGTTTTGGCCTAGTTTGAGATTGCTAGACCTTGGAGGCAGACTGGCACATGTCCAAGCAAGTGACAGGTTCACTGCTGGGCTAATGGATTCTTTTGCCAGGAGTGCTTTGACATTTTTGGAAAATAAATGCATTGTTTAAAACTATTACTCACTTCTTTCTCTTCTTTCTTTGCTGATCTTTTTATTTATATGTAAGTTTTCTACATAAGGATTCCTCCGAGACCTGCATCTGGTCTCCCACAGAAGTTTAGAAATACAGGACATGTCTTATGTAAGATCAGCTAAATAGCAAGGAAGAAGCCATGTTGCATGCCGGTTAAGAGCATGACCCCAGAAGGCGGACAAACTATAGAACTAGTCGGAGCTCTAGTTTCCTCTTCTGTGCAAGGGTATCATGACTGGAAACCATGAAAATTCAACTAGTTATCACACATGAAGTGAGCAGAATAGGATTGGTCTGTACTGTGCAGGCGAGAAAGGTTAACTACTTTTCATGGCTAAAGGCTCAAGAAGAGACAAGAGAGATAGTCCTTAGTCTACGGCTAAAGTCTTACAATTGTCTCCTCTGCGAGCATTTTTCCTAAATAAACTTACAATATTTTTTAAGATGACATATATTTCTCAAAGAAAAGTATACACACACATGTATAAACATATACACACATGTGTGCATGTTCACACATGTAGCCAGTCTTTGGCTATATTGTGGGTTCTTTCTTCCACTCTTCTCCACACTTTTTCTTCCACCCTTCCAACTCCCTAACACTGGATAAGAGAGAAAAAATGAAAGAGGGGACAGGAAAGAGATCCATGAATAAAGTCGGGGTCAGAAAGGGGGTGACATTATCATTAGATAACTTCCTGCCGATTAGGTCGTTGAGTTCCTTGGGGCAAATTCGATCTTCACTGTCAGGATATCTAATTTCTTCTTGTTTCTCCTTTGTGCATAACTACTTAAAAAGCCACAAACAAAAACAACCAACAACCAACAACACACCATGCACCTCAGGGCCCTAGAATTTATATACCCTCTGAAAAGTCTCCAGAATTCCAAATGTCACACAATCACAGAGCTATCTGCAGCTGGCAAAATCATGCCTCTGTTAGAGCATGAAGCTAATCATAGTTGCTGTGGACAACCTGTGGCAGCTCCATATCCCACACCTGGGATTAAAACAAAAACACACTCATAATATTTTTGTGTTCTTTAAAGAAGACAAAATTTCAAAATTGTCACTACATGCCCAGGTTCATACACATCTGTGAAATATGAGCAATCTATTACCCTAGGTAGCTTACTGACCTGACCTAAAGTAACAGGTAGATGCTGAAAGTTATGCTACATGGCCAAACATATGCTGTGTTATTTTAAAACTATTGGGAGACCTCTGGTCTATTTCCCCATAACTATAAAAGTGTTTCTGCCCAGACTCTTACAAGAAAGTTATTAATGCTTGTTTTGACTGAAGAAAACCAAGCAAGCTTCTAGTGATGATGCTCTTGGCCTCTTGACAGGAATGCAAGGTTGCAAACCTAAAACTTATGCTGACTTTTGTAAAGCCAGTGCTCT